CTGTGCCCTCCTCTGAGTCCACGTAGACTTCTCTGGGCTCCGGTGAACAGTGATGCCCGGAACGTTCACAGACAGGCCTTTGTTACAACACCTGTTGCCGGTTACACAAAACATCCAGAATTGGTCAATCCACAAAGACAGACAGATGAGGGGCCATCAAGGGGAATTTAGTACATTGGGAATGTACTAAATTTTCACTTAAAAGTGGTTAATGGTTGCGGCTCTGGCTGGCTCAGTCAGTGGAAGCGTGTGACTCTTCATCTGGGGGCTGTGACGTTGGGGGCAGACTTTACTTAAAAATAAAATCTTTTTAAAAATCTTTTAATTAATTTATTTGGAGAAAGACAGAGAGCAAGCAGGGGAGGGGCAGAGAGAGAGAATCCCAAGCAGGCTCCACAGTGTCAGTGTAGAGCCTGACACAGGGCTCGAACTCACGAACCACAAGATCATGACCTGAGCCGAAGCCAAGACTCGGATGCTTAACTGACTGAGCCACCCAAGGGCCTCAAAAATAAAATCTTAAAGAAAAAAAGTGGTTAATGTTTAATTTTACATTGTGTGAATTTTACCTTGATTAAATAAGTAAATAACTTGGTAAATATCGTGAAGTCTAAACAAATAGGTCTGTGGGTCTTATCTGTCCCTCTGGCCATAAGTTTGAATCTTCTTCAGGCTTTAAAAAAAAAAAAAATAGACAAGTATTACACAGAAAAATTTACATGCTTAGACTGAATTTACATAAAATTTACATGAAGTTCAAACAAAAGCAAAATGAAACAACTTTCTTTAAAGAATAGAATTATAGTTTGCAAAACTATAATGAAAAGGGAAGGATTCGGGGCACCTGGGTGGCTCAGCTGGTTAAGTGCTGACTTCGACTCAGGTCATGATCTTGATGTTCTGGAGTTCGAGCCCCGCATCGCTCTGTGCTGACAGCTCGGAGCCCGGAGCCTGCTTCGGATTCTGTGCCTCCCTCTCTCTCTGCCCCTCCTCCACTCACACTCTATCTCTCTCCAAGTAATAAATAAACATTAAAACATTTTTAAAAACTAAAAATAAACGTTTGCTGAATTTCAAAAAGACACCTTCGGATCTAGGGTAAAATGTGAGCAACCGATAAGCTTGGGTGAGGGGCATGTGGGTCTTCTGTGCAGTATTTTGATTCTTGCAACTTCTCTGTAAACTTGAAATTATATTTTAAAAGCCTTAAAATGTATTCGTATAGACCAGGCTTGCAGATTTCACAAAGCTTCTGTTTTTCCTCTACTGCAAAAACTAGAAAGTGAAGAAATGCAAGTCCCAGACCATGATGTGGGTCCAGTTACTGGTCTTTGCTGGGTCTCCGTTCCCTTCCCCCACCTCTGAGGAGTCCACACAGACTGCAGGCGGGGAAAGAAGGTGCAGAGTGAAGGCCGGCCACACAAGGAGCCAATCCCGAGACCAGAGGGCTCTGGCCCGAGGCGGACAACTCCCAGGCCATCCCTGAGCCGGCTGGGCACATAGTCAAGCAGGAAAAAACAAATGTGTTGCTGATCCCTTTCCCTGGCTCTTATCTGAGTTTATAATTACACGTTCATTAGTGTGATTATGTGATTAATATCTGTTTCCATCACCAGGCTGTCAGCTCCCTGGGGGTCCCTATTTTGCTCTCTACTGTATGCCGGGCCCAAAGTGCCACTCGATAAATAATAACAGCAGGGCTGATCTAGTCATGACCCCGTGCCAGGCTGTCTTCCAGGGCTCTGCAGGGATTACGACGGCATTTCTCCTGGCACTGGCTGTAGGAGGTAGCGTGCGAGCAGCTCCCGTAAGGGAGGAAGAAGCGGAGACAATTGCTCGGGCTGGGCAAGGTGGAGCAAGCATTTCCCCACCAGCCCCTGGCCCACGCTTCCACCACCTGTCCAAGGCCGTGAGCCCACCTCCCCAGCAAGGGGGCTGCTGGGAACCCTGGGGCAATTTGTAATTATTTAACATGTCATGTTATATAAATATTATGTTACAGGTCTTATTATAAATATTGTATTTATACATTACATTACATTGTATATTATGTTTCATATATGTAACATTATGAATGCTATATTCATATAACATGATTTACTGTGGACCTGGGTGGCTCAGTTGGTTAAGTGTCTGACTCTTGGTTAAGTGTTTGGCTCAGGATTTTGGCTCATGATCTCACAGTTCGTGAGTTCAAGCCCCACATTGGGTCTGCTCTGACAGCATGGAACCTGCTTAGAATTATCTCCCTCCTTTCTTTCTGCCCCTCCCCTGCTCTCTTTCTCTGTCTCTCAACATAAGTAAACTTAAAAGACAAAAACAAAGGGGCTCCTGGGTGGCTCAATAGGTTGACAATCCGACGTCAGCCCAGGTCATGATCTCGTGGTTCACGAGTTTGAGCCCCACACCCGGCTCTGTGCTGACAGCTCAGAGCCTGGAGCCTGCTTCGGATTCTGTGTTTCTCTCTCTCTGCCCCCCCCCACTTGCTCTCTGTCTCTCAAAATAAAATAGAGACATAAAAAAAATTGCATTTAAAAAATTATGATAGGCTATTTATGTAAATATTTATGTAATGATTACTATAATATATAATGATCCTATATTACTATATATTACATAATTGTATTTATTTTAAAAAATTTTAATGTCTATTTTTTTTTAATTTTTTAATGTTTTATTTATTTCTAGGAGAGAGAGAGACAGCATGAGCAGGGGAGGGTCAGAGAGAGAGGGAGTCACAGACTCTGAAACAGGCTCCAGGTTCTGAGCTGGCAGCCAGCACAGAGCCCGACGCAGGGCTCGAACCCACGAACCGCGAGATCATGACCTAAGCGAAAGTCGGACACTTAACCGACTAAGGCACCCAGGCGCCCCAATGTCTATTTATTTTTGAGAGACAGAGACAGAATGCAAGCAGGGGAGAGGCAGAAAGAGAGTGAGGCACAGAACACAAAACAGGCTCCGGCCTCTGAGCTGTCAGCACAGAGCCCCACACAGGGCTCGAACTCATGAACAGCAAGATCACGACCTGAGCCGAAGTTGGAGGCTTTACCGACTGAGCCACCCAGGTGCCCCTGTAATTGTATTTATAATACATAGCTAAACATAGAAAATGTTAAGATAATATATTAACATTTAAATATAATATCCATATTATTAATATAGTAACCAATTAACTCTAATCATATTGTATATAATTGTATTATGGATTAGGGATATGTAATTATATTATATCCATGATTATATGGATATCATATATACCATATGATATATATAATTGGTATATTATATATATGTAATTATATTTATGTTATAAATATAGCATTTAAGAAATCACACTTAGAATATTAACACATTTGTATTCATAAACCAGCACATATTCCCTATTGTAATTTTTTTAACATTTATTCATTTTTTGAGAGACAGAGAGAGGACAGGGCAACTGGGGGAAGGACAGAAAGAGAGGGAGACACAGGCTCCAGACTCTGAACCGTCAGCACAGAGTCCAGCACAGAGCCCGACATAGGGCTCGAACCCACAAACAGCGAGATCATGACCTGAGCCGAAGATGGAGGCTCAACCAACTGAGCCACGCAGGTGCCCTTTTTATTTTAAGGATTTCATTTGCTAAGTAATCTCTACACCCAACGTGGGGCTCAAACTCAAGACCCCGAGATCAAGAGTTGTATGCTCTACTGACCAAGCCAGCCAGGGACTCCTGTTTTAAATACTTTTAGGTTTAAGAGACTTTGGCCTTTGAGAGGTAACAGAGCAGCTTTAGCTATTCCTGTGTAACCAAAGAATGCACTCAAGCCATGATTTTTTTTAATGCTTATTTATTTTTGAGAGATGAGGAGGGGCGGAGAGGTGGGGGACAGAGGATCCCAAGAAGGCTCTGTACTGACAGCAGAGAGCTCCAGGCGGGGCTCGAACTCTTGAACCGTGAGATCCTGGCCTGAGCCGAAGCTGGACGCCCCCTCCAGCTGTGACTTCGCGAGCTGAAACACACGTGGTCTTCCCAAGGTGCGAGGCCGGCCCTGGGCCCGAGCGCTGCAGCCCTGGACGCGGGTCTTCGCTGCAGCATCAGCTGGCGCTGTTCCAGCTACTACCAGCTTCCTGTGCACAGCGATGCCGGGCCCCCTGAGAACGCAGCCACGGTGCCACAGCCCTCCCGCCCCCTCTGCGACCGTCTCCTGGAGGCCGGGGCGGCTCTTTCATTGGGCCTCAGAGCCCCCTGCCTGGCCCTGACCCCTGTCCCAGCGCCGTTTCCAGGCCCTGGAATCCGTCCAGCCCGCACCACAGGCCAGACCGGCAGCCTGTATGACCGTCTGTATGACCAGAGGCGGGGAGGCCGGGGGGCCGGGATCAGCAGGTCTTGGTCTCTGGGTGTCTCCTTCTGAGGACCGTGCGGGAGAAGCTGTTGCCAGCTCTGTCCCCGGCTGGTAACCGGCTGCCCGCCTGTCTGCGTTCTCCCCTCCCCTCCAGTCACAGCGGAGCAGGGTCCACACTGCTGCCCTCGCTCTCACCTGGACACCTCCGTAGACCCTGCGGTCCTGGGGCGGGGGTGGGGGTCAGGATCCCAGCACAAGGAGCTGGGAGGGCTGCAGTTCAACCCACGATGCCCGTGCTCTAAGTGGCTGAGTTTTCCGGTCCCTCTGTGGGTTTGTTGACAAATGACTTCGGGGCCGCTAAGTAGCCGGTTTCTGGAGAGCACGAGGGGTCAGTTTTCTCCACCCCGGAACGCACGGCCACATCCAGACAGACTCCAAATCAAAGCTCTTAAATTTCCAAGCCTTTAATCCTGAACCAGACCACAGCGAGGCCCGACCCAGAGACCCCCCTCCGCCTGCCCCATTTCCCCAAGGTCAGATTAGTTGGAAGAAGTCTCTTCCACAAGTGAGTCCATCCAGCTCTGGGAAATGAATCAGTCCAACTCCGTCCCCAAACCCCCTGACCTCATCCCCCCCCCACTCCCTGGTTACCCCATCAGGTCCCCCTGCAAGCCTTCCCTTGGGGACCCTCGTTTGCAAAAAGCCTCTCCCCCATCGCACCCCCAAGCATCCTGATTCAGCCACCGAGAAGAACATATTCACAGAGGGAAAGGAGGAGGGAAAGAACATATTCACAGAAGAGGGATGTTTGTGCAAACCACGTGTGCCCCGCAGCAGGGAGAACACGGTTTCTCCAGGACAAAGGGAAAGGATTTTGCGGGATAAAAAGAAGAAAAGGAAGGAGCTTCGAGAAGGCACCCTGGTGGGTCTAGGGGGCCCTGTGCCCCAGCTTGGGGCAGATGGAGCCCCAGGGCCAGGGAGGCAGCGTGAGCAGGAGGAAGCAGCCGCCGGCCAGCAGGAGGGCCAGGCCGGCGCCCACGCCACAGCCCAGGGACCAGGAGTATTCGTAGGTCAGGGCTGGGGCTGGGGGAGGCCCGGGGCTGACTCGCTGGAGCAGGGCTTGAACGGAATGCCGGAACACCTCCAGGCTGACCAGGAGCAGCAGACCTGTGGGGGGAGAGGACACGCATGGCACTGAGGCGCCCGGGGCCCGGCCCGCCTGGGCGCCTCCCAGCACACCCCATCTCATGCTCAGGACCCCGGGACCCTCAGCACCGCCCGCCTCGTTCCTTCAACAGCTGCTCAGTCAACACCCACCCTGTGGCGGGTGTTTGGAAGCTGGAGGTGAAGAAGGAACACAACACGAATGGACAGACACAGAAGGGAGCGTGGTGGTCTCCAGGAGCAGAGGAGCGGCGGGGTGGGGGGGTGGCGGGCAGGGGCTGCGGCTTAGTGGGGACAGAGCTGTAGCTGGGGAAACGTACATGAAAACATTCTGCAGCTGGATGGTGAATGTGCATAAATGCCACACAACGGAGCACAAAACAGGAGAAATGGTAAACTTTATGTTATGTGTATTTTATCAGTTTAAAAAGAAAACGAAAGGGCGCCTGGGTGGCTCAGTCGGTTAAGCATCCAGCTTCCGTTCAGGTCATGATCTCGCTTCGTGGTTTCAAGCCCTGCGTCGGGCTCTGTGCTGACAGCTCAGCTGTCAGATTCCGGGTCTCCCTCTCTCTCTCTGCCCCTCCCCTGCTCGCGCTCTCTCTCTCAAAAATAAGTTAACATTAAAAATTTTTTTAAGGAAAAAAGCAAAAGCACCCGGGTGGCTTAATTGAGTGTCCAACTCTTGATTTCGGCTCAGGTCATGATTCCAGGGTTGTGGGATCGAACCCTGTGTTGGGCTCCAAGCTGAGTGTGGAGCCTGCTTAAGATTCTCTCTCCCTCTGCCCCTCACCCGCACTCACACTCTCACTCTCAAAAAAAAAAAAAAAATCAAACTCCAAAATCAAAAATAGCAAAAATCAATTAAAGACTACATTAAAAAATTATTTGAAAAAATAAAAGGGGTGCCTGGCTGGCTCAGCGGGTAGAGAATGCAACTCATGGTATCTGGGTCATGAGTTCAAGCTTCACGTTGGGCATAGAGTTTACTTAAAAAAAAAAAAAAAGACTCCATCAGGCTTTTGGAAAAATCAATGGTAGAATCTGGAATAGCTGAACTCCTTATGGAAGCACAGAGCAGAAGTGGTTTCCGAGAGCTGGGGAAAGGGAAATGGGAAGATGTAGGGCAAAGGGAACAGAACTCAATTACGCAAGACAAACGAGTTGTGGGGATCTGATGTACAGCATGGTGACTGTAGTTAGCAATACCGTATCGCATCTGTTACAAGAATAGGTCCTCAATGTTCTCACCACACACACCAAGGTAGCCACGTGAGGTGACGCATGTTGTTAACTGGTCTAACTGCGGTCACTTCATAACGTGCATGTAGGTCAGAACCTCAAGTTGTACACCTTAAAGAGCTACAACTTCTACTCATCAACCATACCCCAGTAAAGATGGTGGATCACAAAACAAGAGGAAAGGCAGTCAAGTCAAGTTGCAATAAGATTTGATTAAAAAAAAACAAAAAAACAGCAAGAAAAGAAGAACAAAACAGAGACCCTGATCTCACAGAGCTTATATTCTAGGGGGAGGAGACAGGTGGTAAACAAATAAACCAAGGCTTGCAAAGCTCAGATGCCTGCAGGAGGCGACGAGACAGCATAAGTCAATGAAGCAGGTGAGTGTGGTGGCTAGGGGCGGGGTGGGGGGGGGGCGTGTAGGGGGGAATGACAAAGATCCCCAAACTCAGCTTCAGCCAACTGCAATCCTTCAGAAATGGGGACCCAAATTGCCAGATCTTCTAAGTTTTTAAGATTCGCTGGAATTTTTCAAAGGATTCCTATGTTTTATGGGAATTTGCCCAACCTTGAAATACTGGTTCAGAGAAAGCATTGTGCCCTGGCCGCCAAAGTCCATTTATGGGTCCTCGCTGGCCATGGGAAACACATGAGAAGTAAACACATGAGAAGACGAGATAATTTCAGAGAGTGATGTGTGCCGGGAAAGATAAAACAGGGTGATGGGAAGGGAAGTGACATCCAGGGGCGGAGCAGAGACTTTGAGATGATGTCATCAGTAAACCCCATTTCAGCTAAGACTTGGAGGAAGAACAGAGGCCAGGTTCTGGAGGAAGCACAAAACTAAGCGATGACCCTTGCAAGAGGAAGGAATGGCTGGTGCAAAGGGCCTGTGGTGGAATGATAGTGTGTCTGGGGGAGGGAAAGAAGGGCAGTGTGGCTGGAGCAAAGATGGTGGGGGGTGGGGAATGGACATGCAGAGCTCAGCTCTTGTACAACCAGCTGATGGCCCTGAGTCATGGGTTCTAGGTGCCTCCTGTCTTGGACCCCAGACTCTCTTCCCTCCCCAGTCCCAGGTACTTTATTTCCCCTGTGGTTTTTAATTGGAGGCCTGGAGAATGCAGCCGGGAGTCTGTGATCTGTGGGTCAGTGGCTCCCCTTTGGCCTCACGCAGCTCAGCTTAGGGCACTGGAGGTAGAGTAACAGGACACCCTCCAGCCCCTTTATTCTTCCATGAATTCATGCATCTTTGATTCATTCAACCATCTTAATAGAGCACCCAGCATAAAATATATAAACAAGATTCACAGGGGCGCCTGGGTGGCTCAGCGGGTTAAGCGTCCGACTTCGGCTCAGGTCATGCTCTCGCAGCTCCTGGGTTCGAGCCTCACGTCGGGCTCTATGCTGACAGCTCAGAGCCTGGAACTGCTTGGGATTCTGTGTCTCCCTCTCTCTCTGCCCCTCCCCCACTCCTGCTCTGTCTCTCAAAAATAAACAAATGTTAAAAAAAGGAAAAAAAAACTAAGAAAGCCTAGTCCTCCTGCAGTTCCATGCCAGAAGGAGAACCGACCGCGAATCGGGGAACTGCAGTGCCGTGGGCTGGATCGTGCCCCCGGGAGCTCAGGTGCCGGAGGCCTGACCCCCCAGTTTCTTGGAATGTGACTATATTTGAAGATAGAGGTGTTGTTGTTTTTTTTAAGTTGTTTTTTTGTTTGAGAGAGAATGTGATGGGGGAGGGGCAGAGAGAGAGAGAGAGAGAGAGAGAGAGAATCCCAAACAGGTTCCACACTCAGATGCAGGGGCTTTAAGTCAGGAACCATGAGATCACACAACCTGAGCCAAAACCAAGAGTTGGACACTTAACCAACTGCCACCCAGGCGCCCCAAAGATAGAGGCTTTAAGGCAATAATAGACATGAGGCCATTCGGGCCCTAATCCAGTATGGAGGGCAATATGGCTGGTGTCCTCACAAGAAAGGAAAGGGGAACACAGACACACAGACACACAGACTGAGGACATGGGGAGAAGACAGCTGTCTACAAGCCAAGGAGAGGCCTTGGGGGAGACCGACCCTGCCCACGCCTGCGTCTCAGACCTCCAGCCTCCACATCATGAGACGGTGAGTTTCTGTTCTTTAACCCCCTGGCTGTGGCACTTTGTTATGGTGGCCCGAGCAAAGGAAGAATCCACAAGTACATAATTTCAGGGAGTGATCGATTCTATGGGGGAAAAGGGGGCAAGGTAGGAACACAGCAGGTAATGGGCCTCCTCTGGACAAGGCAGCCAACAGCAGTCTGTCTGAGCAGGTGTGATTTGATCAGAGACTTAAATGATAGGAAGAGATGAGACAAGGGAAGATCTAGTGGAAGAACATTCCAGGCTAAGTAGAGAGCCCTGCAAAATGTTCTGAGGAGGAGAGATTAGAGGAATAGCAAAGAAGCCAATGAAACCAGAACACAGGGAGCAGGTGGTAAGAGGCTCCTACCCCCAGGAGCCAGGCCACATAAGACCTTGGAACCACGTTATTCTAGCGGGACTAATTTATTGTTCATCTATTGGCTTTTGAACCAGGTAGGAAACACAGTATGATTTATGGTTTAAAAATACAACTAACCCTAAAGCAAAGGGCGGGCAGGACTTGTCCATGGGCTGTAGTCGGCGGACCTTTGGCCTTGACCGTTGGCCTTGTGCCAAGATTCTAACAAACGTTCTCACATCTCATCTCTTCCCACTAGACCTTATGAGGAATGTATTATTTCCCCCACTTCACAGAGAGGAAAATTAAAGCCTGGAGAAGCGGAGCTCGGGTTTGAGCAAAGCCAGTTCTACTCGATGGATTCTTCTCTTCGGCACGTCTCTGTACACCCTCCCTGATCAAGCCTGACACCCTTGCCCACGTGATCTGGCCCCTGCCTCCTTGTTTGTAGTCCCCTCCACTGCTCTTCCCATCCTAACATAGTGGGGAGTACAACTTCTTTCAGTCTGTAGGTAATTCTTTAGAGACAGAGAGCAGGGGAGGGGCTGCGAGAGAAGAGAGAAAATCCTAAGCAGGCTCCGTGCTCAGCACAGAGCCAGATGCGGGGCTTGATCCTACGACCCTGGGATCATGACCTCAGCTGAAACCAAGAGTCAGTCACTCAAGCGGCTGAGCTACCCAGGCACTCCTCTTTCAGTCTTTAAATGCACCAAATTCTTTAAGGCCAGGAGACCTTTATGCTGCTTGGAATAATTTTCGGCTTAACCTTCCCCGAGTACTGCCTCACACATCCCTACTATTATTACTATTACTATTATTATTGTTACTATCCCTACTATGGCACTTCTGAGAAGCCTTTTTATTTTTTTATTTTTTAATGTTTTATTTATTTCTGAGAGAGAGAGAGAGACAGCGTGAACAGGGGAGGGTCAGAGAGAGAGGGAGACACAGAATCCGAAACAGGCTCCAGGCTCTGGGCTAGCTGTCAGCACAGAGCCCGACGCGGGGCTCGAACCCACGAACCGTGAGATCATGACCTGATCCGAAGCCGGATGCTTAACCGACTGAGCCACCCAGGCGCCCCCTGAGAAGCCTTTCTTAAGCACTGCCACTCAAGTCTATATCAGATCTCCCTGTTACACATTTTCCTCATACTCTTTCATTTTCATTTATAGCACTTATCACAGCTGGTAATTATTAGCATATATTAATTTATATTAGTATTGTCTATTTGTCCCATTGCTATCTCCCTCGCTACCATAAATCCACAAGAGCAGGAAACTTCTCTGTCTTGTATCTCTAAAACACAAACAACACCTGACGTATATACTTCACAGAGAGAAACAATATAACCCGAACATGTCCCTTTATTGAAGGAGACCTTAAAAATGCAATCTGCCCAGTCCCTGATACTGAATATAACCGAAGTACTTACAGCATCAAATCCACCCCCTCGCTTTCATTTGCTTGTAAAATCTGCAGAAAAATTTCATGCCTGAGACTTCCATAAAACACTTTTATATCCTCACTTTCATGATACCCCTGGAATAACATGAGCATGATTTCGATAACCAAATTCCTCCCACACTATCAATTCCACAAAAACAGGGATCATCTTAAACTTATCCATCATTCTATCCCCAGTGGTATAAAGCACAGCATCGAGCACTTATTGGATATAAAAAAATACTTTTTGAATGACTGGATGGATGAATAGAGGGAAAATAGATAAAAGGAGAATGGAAAAGGAAGAAGACAGTGGGAGGAAATTAATGAATCAATGGATGGATAGATGGATGGATGGATGGATGGATGGATGGATGGGTGATGGATGGATGGATGAGTGGATGGATGGATGGATGGATGGATGGATAGTTGACAAATGGATACTTCATTGACTGACTTCATGGATATACAGAGACTTGAATTCAGAGATAAAAAAAAAAATTGCCCAAGATTACACAACTTGTCAGGGTCTTTTACACCAGTGTCCCCTTCATTCTCCATGTTCCAGCCACACTGGTGTTCTTTCAAGACCTTAAATTCACCAAACTCTGTCTAGCTTGGTTACTCAGGGAGGCCTTTGCTAACTCTCTGCTTTAAACCAAGTGCTCTCGTTATGCACTCTCATAGAAATCTACCTTTCCTTTTCCTTTATAGCACCTAGAAGTTTGTAATTGTGGGATGATTTGTGTTATTTCAGTGTCATTAACCAGATGATAATCTCCATAAGGGAAGTCACCTTCTGTCTTGTACATTCTGATAACATTACATATACAAAAACGTACAAATGTGTGTAATGTGTCTGTGTGTGTATCTATGAATAAAATGAACGATGAAAGAATGGAAAGGAAATGACTGAATATTTCCCCTTATTTAGGAAGATCTCTAAGGCAACAAAATAATAAAAATTGCTAATTAGTATTTTCCATTCATCTGTTCATGTTCTTGAAGACTCATCGTGTCTCCCTTATCTAGTACTATGTACATCTGTGAAAAATCTCACCTGCTTTATGCTCTGACCTTCATTCTGTTCCTTGAACTTGTCAAATTGCTATTCCATCACCACCACCACCGTTAGTACACCATCATCCCTACATTACCACCATTTTTACTACCATCATCATCATCACCATCAGCACTACCACCACAAACATCACCAATATAGCCACCACCACTGTCACCACCACACTTTGGATAATTCCTATTTACCTTTCAATTACCAGCTTAAAAATCCCTTTCTCTGAGATTCTCTGATACACCCTCACTGCAGTGTCTACCTCTAATTTGCTTTATCATAATTCTCATCACAATTACGGTTGAATTATTATATGTGTAATTACTGGCTACTGTCTATCTCTGCCAGAATCTAGGCTCTGTGAGGGCAGACTGTATCTATCTTGTTAGTCATATATATCTCCAGCCCTTAGCACAGTGCAGGGAACATAGTAGGTGCTCAGTAAATACACAGAGGATAAATAAATGAAGCTTATATAATTAACGACCTTTCCATTAACCTTAGCAAACATTTGATCCAATGAGGACTACATGAACAAGATGTAGAATTTCTTTTGACCATCAGCTCCAAGAATGCAACAGTCACTGAAGACCCCAGTTCTAACGCTAAAAGAGTGTTTGAAGACTTTTCAATTCCCAGCCAATAACAGTGCTTAGAACTCTCACATTGAGCCTACTACAGTCCTTGTGCTTCCCAGCATGCAGCAGTGCTTAGAGATGTCCTGTAACTCCCCAGCATGCAACAGTGCTTGGAGATGTCCTGTAACCTCCCAGCATGCAACAGTACTTGGAGATGGCCTCCAACTTCCCAGCCTGCAACAGTGCTTGGAGATGGCCTCCAACTTCCCAGCATGCAACAGTACTTGAAGACCTCTGGGGGTTTAAATTGGAGACCCCCCCTGGAGACAGCAGGGCTTAGAATTCTCCCATTGTTGAGACCTCTATGGTCCTTGAGCTTCCTTCAATCCCCTTGGTACAACTGTGTTTGTGGACTCTACCTCCAAGCCGGCAACAATTCTTGGAAACCCTTGGTCCAAATTTAAAATAGTGTTTGGAGACCCTTTAATCTCCAGGCAGCCATAAAGCTTGGAATTCTCCCATTTTTAAGGCTACTATAGCCCATGGGTTTCCCTCACCTCTCAGCATGCAACAGTGCTTGGACACCCTACCTCCCTGCATGCAACAGTGTCTGGAGATTCAAACTCCCAGCATGCAACAGTGCTTGGACACTCTACCTTCCTGCATGCAAACATTACCTAGAGTTCCAAACTCCCAGCATGCAACAGTGCTTGGAGATCCAACCTCCCAGCATGCAGTTCCCGCGGTTTTCAGGCTCCCAGCCCTCACCTGAGAGGCCAAAGCAGATGGCTCCAACTCGGAGCAGGAACTCTGCACCTTTGCTGAGCACCATGATGATACAGAGGCACCCCAGGGCCATGACTGCCAAGCCTAGCACTGCTATCACGGCAGCTGCCAGGTTCACCTCTGCAAGGAGAGGAAAGAGAAGAAGCAGAGAACATGGGAGGTAGGAAGTGGGAAGGACTCCCCTATAGGGACCCAGAACCAGGAAGATGGAAGATTCAGAGCTAGAGAAGAATTTTCAAGATCATGCAGTCCAGTATAATAGTTTACTTACGCTGTTGAAGGAACTAAGACTCAGAGAGGCTCAGTGATTTGCCTGAGGCCACAGAGCAAAGAGGAGACATCGTCAGGATTAGAAGGAAATGGGAACTACCAATTATTCCTTATGATCTGGTTACTATTTGTTTACAGGTGAGGAAACTGAGGCAGTGAGCATGTGGGTGACAACGGAGAAGGTAGCTTGTTCCAGTGGAATGATCCAAGTCTGAATTCTCCACAGCCACATCCTTACTGGAAGATTGTGGTAAAGTCACCAAACTTCTCTGAGCCTCAGTTTCATCCTCTAGAAAATCAGGATCAAAATGCCTATTTGACTGGGCTGTTGTGTGGATCAGGATTTGCTTATGTAAAGTGCCCAGTGCAGTGCTTGGCACACAGCAGTTGTGGTATCCACATGCACTGTGATTATTCACTATCCCAGAGAAGCACGGTGGCTTGTCCAAGCTCACTTAGCACAAAGACAAGACAGAAAGGAGCAGGGAGGGTGGGAACCACTGTTGACTGAGGGCCTACTATGTGCCCAGCATCAAGCTGTATATTTCAGCTGCATCATCTCATTAAACCCTTACAGAGGCTGGATAGGAGTCATGACATGACCATAATCCCTTTACTGGTGTGGATGGACCACTGAGGTACTGGGGTGATGGAGAGGCTGTGGTTATAGTAGAAAGGGTAGAGTCTGTGCTAACAGCAGAGAATCCAGGGCTCAAACTCATGAACTGTGAGATCATGACCTGAGCCAAAACCAAGACTCAGACGCTTAACTGACCAAGCCATTCAGGCTCCCAAGAAAGAGTAAAGTCTTAAGAGTTGCATTGTCCAGTATGGTTGCCACTAGCCATGTGTGGTCTTTCCATTTTAAATGGATTTAAATTAAAACAAAAAAAAGTTTATTCATTTTTTTTTAGGGGGAGAGAGAGTGAGACAGCGAGAGAGTGAGAGAGCACAAGCGAGGGAGAGGCAGAGAAAGAGAATCCCAAACAGGCTCCACACTGTCAGTGCAGAGCCCAATGCAGGGCTCGAACCCATGAGATTGTGACCTGAGTTGAAATGAAGAGTCGGACACTCAACCAACCAAGTCACCCAGATGCCCCTCCCCCAATTTTTTTTATTTTGAGAGAGGGAGAGTGCAAGTAGGGAGAGGGACAGAGAGAGGGATGGAGGGAGAGAGATAGGGAAGAAGGGGGAGGGAGGGGGAGGGAGGGAGAGGGAGAGGGAGAGGGAGAGAGAGAGAGAATCTCAAGCAGGCTTCACACTTAGCACAGAGCCTAATGTGGGGCCCAATCCTACAGCCCTGGGATCATGACCTGAGCCAAAATCAAGAGTTGGAGGCTCAACCAACTAAGCCACCCAGGTGCCCCAAATTAAAACAAAATTTGAAAAACTTATTTTCTTCATCACACTAGCCACATGGGCTCAGCAGTCACATGGGGCCAGCGGCTACCAATTGGTCAGCTCAGGTATAGAGTATTTCCACCTCACAGAAGATTCTATAGTAGAGCATTGCTTCGGAGTCAGGATTATTTGGGACTGATTCTGCCTCTGCCACTTCTGGAAAAAGTAAATGCAACCATTTCTGGACTTCCATTTTTTTTCATCTGGAAGATGAAATACAGCCGTCGCCCTGCAGGGTCATGGCAAGGATGGGAGTTCTTATCAGTAAGACACTCAGCCCTGTGCTTGGCATGTGGCACATAGACATCTTTAAGAAAGTCCCAGAAAGGGGCTGTGACTTTCCCAAGGTCACACAGCACATGTCAAAGGTGGAGCTGGGGTAGAAGCATCAAGCACAGGGCTCTGGAGAACCACTTGCCCCCAAAGATGGGACCTCCCCCAACCCCAGGGCAAAGCAGAGAGGAAGACGATGCTATCAGGAACTCCTCTGACATGGTCAGCATATCCCTTCCACCACCCCACCACCCCGCCCCGCTGCAGGGTGGTTCTCACCTTTCTTTGTAGTTCTCTGGAAGATGTGTGCATTTTCCCCAGTGGTAAAGAATTTAAAATAGGTGCAGTTTGCTTCTGTGGGAGCAGGAGAGAAAAAGAGCGGTGACGATATGGACATTGCTAGCGTAAGCTCAGGGCTGGGCATTTAACATAGCTCACGGCAGCCTAAAAATAGGACATCAACATCCCTGATATACACAAGAGAAAATGATGTTCAGAGAAACAAAAACCACCTGGCGTCATCCAGCTATACAGGAGCTGAGAATCCCGTCTGGAGCTTAGAGGTCCAGATCTGTGGCCTTGTGAAGGCTATTGACCTCTCTGCAGCTTCTGAATCTTTCTGTATAAAATGAGATAACAGTCTCTTTCCTGGCTCCATCATATGGGTTTGTTGAGTGGTCAAGTGGGATTGGAAATGGATGATCACTTCATTCAACAAAGGACAGGAAGGCTAACAGACTCAGGGGAGATTTTCATCTCAGAGAGGATTCCTAACTAGAACACACAAAGAACACCTGCAGACCAGCAAGAGAGGAAACCCGATTGAAAAATGGGCAAAGGATAGGAATAGTCAATTCACAGAAGAAGTCTGAATGACTCACAAGTATATTAAGAGACGCTCCACCTCACCAGGGATCACAGAAATGCAACTTAAATCAGCAGGGAGACAGCACTTTAGATCAATTAGATTGGAAAATATTAAAAGGATGATATCAAGCACTGGAAGAGTAAGAGGAAACAGCTGGGGACCAGAAACTGGCACTAGTGTCTTTCTGGAAAGCACTCTGACATCCTTTGTACATTTGTATCCTATAACCGAACAATTTCATTTCTGGGTCTTATATCCAGAGAAACACTATAGGCAGGGACATATGTGTGGCTGCTCACGGCAGTACTGTTGGTAAGAGCAGAGAGTCAGAATCAACCTAAGCATCCATCTCAGGGGGATCAGGTAAATGGGACAGATGCCTTCTATGCAAATCTCTGCAGCCCATGATAGCCATGAACTAGAAGACCAGAAAGCAATACGGGGAAATCTGAGAAACAGTGTTGAGCAAATAGATAGATAAATCACAAGCAGGAGGAAAAAATCCACAGCATGATATCATTACATAAATTAAAACACACAGAGATATAAAATAACACTATGTAGTTTCCAAGTTAAAATATATACTCAAGGATACATATCCAACACATTAAAGAGATAGAAGGGAATTGGAGAAAATAATGATGTACAATAAAGCCAGAGAAGGCTCTTGGAAATGCTGGTGATGACTCTGTGATGTAAAGGAAAGAAGAGGAAAGATCGACTTCTTTGTGTACTTGAAGTCCCAGGTAAACCTAAACTTGAAAGGCTGGAGCGCTCTCCAAACTGCATCTGAAAGCCAGGACTTCCCACAAAATTCCCCTAGCCTCATGTTCCCATGCTACAGATGGGGAAACTGAGGCACGGGAAGGGGGAAAGACAGGTAGACATCAAGAGGGGTACAAGAAGAGCCAGGTGGGCTGGAGAGGCAGAAAGGAACCTTCCAGATTGGAGGAAGATGTAGAGGGACAAGAAATAAACTCCTGAGTCAGGTGAGGTGGTGGGACACCCCACCTGTCCCCCGAGGGAAGGAGAGGGCAGGAGCAGGGGAGCGGGAGTCCTTACCCCACAGCATCAGCCATCCTGCGGCAGCAAGGAGTAAAGGATGCCTCATGCAGCAGAGCAAAGGGTGAGGATGCTATAGGTAGCAGTCAGTGGGGGACACAGGGTCTTCATCCATGAGGGAAGTGTGAAGTCCCATCTAGAGAGTAAGAAGGTGTGGTACATCTTTCTGAGAGAGCATGGAGTGTCTGGCCTCCCACTATGGCTACCAGTGATTTAGGGGATCTTGCCTCCAGACTCCAGATGGCGTATCCCATTTGGAAAAGAGTAGGGTGGGTCACACACACCTCCCCCTGCCTTGTAGCCAAGGGAATTAAGGGTGTCCTTTGATGGACAGGGCAATGTGTGTGGGATATTTCTGAGATAACAGAACTTGTGAGCTTTTGGACGGTCCTCTCTGGAGGGTCCGGACTGTGGGCTGATGGAGATGGTCCCGTGAGGAAGCTGAAATCCCTTCTGACCAATAGGGAGACATCAAGGGATATGAGGAATCCTGTCTTATGCGGTGAGGTTGGGGAGGGCATCCGCTATGGAGCAGCAAGGGCCTCTGGGACATCATTATGGACTCGTGAGATGCAATATAGTGTAGTTGTTAAGAACAGAGACAGCCAGGGTTCAAATCCCATATGACTAGCCTGGTACATAGACTGAAGCACTTACACTCCTTACTCCTCATGTTTGGTTTCTCTAAAATGAGAAGGATAATAATTATTCACAAGGTTGCTAGGAGGATATGAGGATTAATGAGTTAATGCACATGACGTACTTTAAACAGAGCTACGTAAACATCTAAGCATATTACATAAGCAGATTATTACCAGGGCACCCCGTTTGGGCAAAGTCTGGGAACTTCCTGCTTGAGGCTCTGAGGGGCAAAAAAAATTAGCCCATCTGCAGAAGTGAAGTGTTTAAACTGGACGCTGAGTGGGTGCTTGGTATCCGACTCTACTATCAAGGATTTGGGACGTCCTATTTGGGACCCTATGGGTGGAAGATAGCATATGTGGATAAGTGAGGGGGGAAAGCCCATCTGGAGCCCAGAGGGATAGAAGATCTTCTCTGAGGGGCACTGAGGTTATACGACATTGTTTGGAACGTAGAGTGCCGGAGATCTCATATGGGTGATCAAGCCTATGACATCTTACATGGACCATGAGGGGTGTCAGATAGTTCCCTCAGGTCAGTAGATGTGGTGCAAGAGCCCATCCCTGTTCCCAGGGGGTATAGGATGTCCCACTGGTGGACGTAAAAGGCATGGCATGTCCTGTCAGGGAGAGTGAGGGGTATGGGATAGCTCTCTGGCGTTGCCACGGATGAAAGGCCATTCTGAGGGACAGTGAGGGGTGTGGGGTGTCTGCAAGAGAAAATAAGGAGGGCTGGAGAGCAGGTCTGGGCATTCAGAGGTGAGAGGGACAGGAAATGGAAAAGCACATTCTCCAGAAGCATGAGGTTCACCCGGCGGGTGTTGGGGGGTGTCTGTTGAGAGCTGTTTGGCAGTATCAGCAGTGGGGACCCAGCATAGATTCCACTTGGGGGTTGGCATTACAGTGGTCAGTCACCCCAGGGCCCAGGGGATAGAAGCGCGCCTGGCTCCAATGCGGGAAAAGCAAGCTGAGCCCACGAACCCAAACTCTCCCTCTAGGGGCACAGGCTGTCTCAGAAAGTGTGGGTGCTTCTGGGGGACTTGGGCTGCTGGAGGGCACCAGCTGTGTGTGGAGTCAGCGCCGAGGCAGGGGTGCGAGGCTTCCCTAGGGAACACGGGCTCTCTCTGGGGTACATGCTGGTCTGGAGACACAGAAAGGTCAGGATCACGTGCTGTGCTGGACGTACAGGGGCTTTGGAGGTCAGAGCTGGTCTGGAGCACTGGCTAGCCTGGGGTCAGAGGCTAGTCTGGGGGCACAGCTGATGTGGGGGTGCAGGCTGGTCTGGGGGCGCAGCTGATGTGGGGGTGCAGGTTGGTCTGGGGGCACAGCTGATGTGGGGGTGCAGGCTGGTCTGGGGGCACAGCTGATATGGGGGTGCAGGCTGGTCTAAGGGACAGGCGAGTTTGAGAGTACAGACTAGTCTGGGGGTCCAGGCAGGCTGAAGCGCAGGGTGTCGCTTGGGACAGGCTGCTGGGGAGGGGGTGTGCAGGACGGCCGGCACGCGGCCTAGAGTCTGGCGGTACAGACTTTCTCTCCCCCCCCCGTCCCCCCCCCCCCCACGGTTTGTGCCTGGAGCCAAGGTCGTTCCGGGGAGCACAGGGGGAGGCTGTGCTCCGACTCCGCCCCCCTCGCGGCGCGTGGGCCCCGGCCCCCGCCTGGGCGGGGCCTCTCACCTCCGGGCAGCTGCTCGGGGCCGCAGGTGTCTCTGCCCGCGGGCACGGCGGCCTGCCACAGCCGCCTGGTGCACATCTTCCACAGCCCCAGGTGGGCGGCGTCGCACACCACGCTGCCGTTGGCCTTGTAGGTGTTGAGCTCCACCCAGAACTCGGTGCCCACGGCCAGCACCGACAGCGCGGCGCCCACCGCGCTCAGCAGGAGCCCCAGCTTGACCTTGGCCTCGCGCTCGGGCGTCGGCCGCGCCTGCTGCTGCCCGCGGGCCCGCCGCCGGCCCGCCGCCTCCCGCCGCCGCCGGTCTTCCTCTTGCAGGAAAAAGTTGGACCACATCATCCTGGGGCGCAGCCGATGGGGCTCGGACAGGGGCGGAGGCGGCAGAGCTGAGGAGGGTCCTGCGGGCTGCGCCGCTGGGGGCGCGCAGGTGGGGGGCTGCCTTCCCACTGGATGCTGAGAAAGGAAGGTCTGAACCTCCCCCTGCAGCCGCCAGTGGGGGCGTGGAGGTCGCCCCTGGGGCTCCGACCAGAACAAAATGGGTCGTGCGGCCCAGGAACCCTCTGCGTTCGGAGGGGGCCCCGGGGAGAAACCCAGGAAGGAGGGTGGGACCCAGAAGAGAAGCAAGGCGCCGCCCAGGCCCAGAGCCAGGAGCGGGGGTCCAGGAAGGCCCGGGACGAAGGAGAACTGAGTACTGAGAGGCTGCTCTGGGTGCCCACTGAGAGGAACCCAGGAAACCGGGTGTCCTGGGGGACGGGCTCTGAGCACCCCACTAAGGCTCAGAGCTTGGGGCACCCAGGGGGGTTGCCGGGGTCCCTTTGTGTATCGGAGAGGAGTTTCCCGGGTCCCCACTGGGGTTCAGGGCAGGAGGTCAGAACTCCTCCTGGGTCTCAGACAGGCAGCAGGAGGCCCCTCCTCCACGTTCACACAGGGGGGCTGTGGGGTCCCGGCTGGGCCTCGGAGAAGGGGGGGGACACCTCCCAGAACTCAGGAGAAAGCAGTGGGCGTCTCCGCGGCCATTCGGAGAAGGTCGGTCCGACAAAGTCTGTCTGGGTCCGAACGGAGGCTCCTGGCTCAGAGACACAGTGGGGTCTGGGAAGGGGGCCCGGGGGGCGCCCCCGGGGCTCAGGAGGGGGACCTGGGGTCCCAATCCGGGTCAGAGGGAGGGACTGTGGTCCCCCACCCCCCAGCGGCTCAAGAAACAGGGACGAAATCCCCCCGGGGTGCAAAGGACCACGGGGACCAGGAAGGGACCCTGCGTCCCTCCGGGGTCACTCGGCTCCCCCTCCCCCCGGCTCCCAGGGCCGGCAGGGCCGGGACCGCTCCAGGCTCAGCTCCAGGCCCGCCGCCCCCCGCAGGCCTCCCGCCCCGGGCTCCCGGGCAGGGCCCCCTCTCGCCCTCCTGCCTCGGCGCCGCGCCGGCCCCAGCTCCGCGCCGCCTCGCAGCCGCCGGTCCCGCAGGCCGCGCCGCCCGCTCCGGCCTCGGCCCCAGCCGCCCACCCCCTCGCCCTCCCGGGCTATTTCAGGCTCGACCCGTAAATAACACCCGCACCTGTCGCCCAGCGCCTGTTGCCATAGGGACCCCGGGTATTTTAAGGGGACGCGGGGGGAGGCGGGAGGCCGTCCCGGGAGGAGGGCCTGGGGGCGGGGTCCTGACCCGCTGGAGCCTGAGCGGGACTTTTACTCCCTTAAGGGGCGAGCGTCTGAGCCGCGGATCTCATCTCCATGGTGGCGGGAGAGGGAGCGGGCCTGGCTGGGAATCTTAATTGCTGGGTCCGAGGGAGGAGGGGCTGGGGGTCAGGACTCCTGGGTCTGAGGGAGGAGGGGCTGCGGTCCCGGACCCCTGGGTCCGAGGGAGGAGGGGCTGGGGGCCCGGACTCCTGGGTCTGAGGGAGGAGGGGCTGGGGGCCCGGACTCCTGGTTCTGAGGGAGGAGGGGCTGCGGTCCCGGACCCCTGGGTCTGAGGGAGGAGGGGCTGGGGTCCCGGACCCCTGGGTCTGAGGGAGGAGGGGCTGCGGTCCCGGACCCCTGGGTCTGAGGGAGGAGGGCTGGGGTCCCGGACCCCTGGTTCTGAGGGAGGAGGGCTGGGGTCCCGGACCCCTGGGTCTGAGGGAGGAGGGGCTGGGGTCCCGGACCCCTGGGTCTGAGGGAGGAGGGCCCGGGGGCCAGGACTCCTGGGTCCGAGGGAGGAGGGGGTGGGGGCCTGGACTCCTGGGTCTGAGGGAGGAGCAGAAGGCTGGGATCCAGCTTCCAGGATCCTGACAGATAGAAGAGCTGATTCTGGTACTGTTTGTCTTCAACTCCCCAGAGGTGAAAAGGGCCAGGTCAGGGGCACTGGAGCCAAAGCCACAGTCCTCGTCATTGAGTTTATTAGACAGGGCACCCCCGGGGGGACCTTCCATGCAGTTTCAGCTCCCCCAGGGGCAGGGACGGGGACAGCCATGTGGAATGGCAGCAGGGCCTGATCTTCACCCCTACGCCCCCTCCCTCAGCCCTTCTGCACACAGGCCAGGTGGGAACCACCTTTCACCAACTCCTTTGTCCGTGGTTGGCTGCTCTGGCGCACGCTGGCCCTATCTGTTCACCCTGCTTTGGACGCAGCACAACGCCCTGTGCCACTTGCATTGGAGCATGAGTCGCTTTGGAATGTGATTGTGTGTGTCTGTGTCTGGCTCTCCCACCAGCCTGGGGCAGGGCTGGGCTACAGGAGGAACTCAGCTCAGTGTCCTCAACACTGCACAGCCTGGGGCTGGGTGCACGGAGGCCTCAGAGGTGCATTAGGTGACTGAATGGATGGATGGACGCAGGGATGGATGGATGGATGGATGCAGGGATGGAGGGAAGGATGGATGGATGGATGGATGGATGGATGGATGCAGGGATGGATGGATGGATGCAGGGATGGAGGGAGGGATGGATGGATGCAGGGATGGAGGGAAGGATGGATGGATGGATGGATGCAGGGATGGAGGGAGGGATGGATGGATGGATGGATGCAGGGAAGGAAGGAAGGATGGATGGATGGATGGAGTGAGATGGTGACACACATGTACGTCCTCCCAAACTAGTGAAGGTGCTCCCCATCAGGGCACACCTCCCTCTGCCTTCTCATTGACCCAGCCACCTGTCTCCTGGCCGGCAGCTCTGAGACTGCACTGCCCGGCACCTGGAAGCCCTGAAACTCCTTAACTGAGTGCCACCTGCTCTTTCCTTCTCCTCACTGGGTCTTCCTGGGCCTTGACAGGGCCCAGAGGGGAACCAGAGCACTGTGAGCAGACCCAGCCCCACGAGGGATGCGTGCCTGTCCTGCCTGAACCCATCTTCCCTTCCTGACCCGTCTCCCACCGTCCTGCATCTTGCCTGCTCTGACAGTTCTTATTTCAGAGTGTATTTTTTTTTGTCTTCCATCCGCTTGCTCTCTTTTCCCAGGAAGGGTGTGGACTTTCTTTGGTATGAAAGCTCTTATCATTTTCATGCCAGGAAGATGGGCTGCTCCCCAACCCCCACCCCACACACACACACACTGGCACCAAGCAGCTCCGGTCCCTACCACTGCACTGAGATGACCTCTTACCAGGTCAGACCTAGCGGTCCCCTTCTTGGCTCCGTTCTCAGCACTGCTGGCCACTTCCTCCTGGCTTCCACCTACCGCGTAGTCGCTCCTTGTGGCTCCCTTTGCTACACCCTCTTCTCCCCTGATGCAGATGTCCCTGAGGCCCTAGCCAGGGTCACCTCATCCAGCCCCGTGGCTTTCAATGTCTCCTATATGCTGACGTTTCCAAAACTTGTATTTCCAGCCATGGCCTCTCCCCCAAGCTTGCATATCAAACTGGTTACCGGATACCCAGACTTGGGTTTCTGGCAGGGATCTCCAACTCGACAGGTCCAAAGAAGGACACTTGGTCCCTCCCACCCAAATTCTGATTCCTTGCCTCGGGGTGGGGGGGTGGGGGACAGGGGGCCCTTCCAGGCAACACACCACAGCACCATGTAAGCTGTGCAAGCTCTATTAAGAGTTCCTCTTTCTGGGACGCCTGGGTGTCCACTCTTGGTTTCAGCTCAGGTCATGATCTCACGGTTTGTGAGTTCAAGGCCCTCACTGAGCTCCGTGCTGACACTGCAGAGCCTGCTTGGGATTTTCTCTCTCTCTCTCTGCCCCTCCCCTGCTCGTTCGCGCTCTCTCAAAATGAATAAACTTAAAAAAAAAAAAAGAGTTCCTCTGTCACTGCAGCTTCTTGTTCCTTCCCGGTCCTGCTGCCTATGCTTCGCTTCCCACTGCTGTGGGCTCTGCCTCCAAAATCCGGGTCCCGTTCCTCCATTTCTCTCCATCCTCAGTGACGCCACTTTGGTCCAGGCCACCGCCAGCCTCAACCGCACAGGGACAACAGTACCAGCTCCTTGTTTCCACTTTTCATTCCTAAATCTATTCTCAGCACGACCATGCAGTTCTGTTCTGTTGTTGTTGTTGTTGTTAAAAATAAAAGTATGATGTCATGCGTGTGCTCAAAACCCTCCGAAGGCCTCCCGTGAGATGCAGAATAAATGCAAATTCCTCCGCAGGACTACAAGACCCTACATGATGGGTGTCCAGCCTGCACTCTGACCTCACCCCGATTTTCTCACCCCTGTTAATCTGCTTGGGGGGGGAGCTCCTCGCAAACCTGCACCCCTATCCCCCACCCCCAGCTTCTGTGCTGCCTTCGGTGGCCCAAATGCTTGTCCCATCCCGTATCTGTTCGAACACTGTCCTCCTGCTTAGTGTTAGAGCACTTCTTGGTAACTGGAATGTTTATCATCCGTCTCTCCGGGACTCCCAGGACAGCAGAACCTTGACTGCCCACATTCCTTAGGCCTAGCCTGGGTCTAGAACAGGTTGGTGTTCAATAAGTACTTCTTGAATCCTGAAAACAAACCAAAGACATGGGTCATTCCCATGCTATCCGCTCTGCAAGCTTCCAAGTCTCCACGCCTCCTTCTGGACATACCTCTGGATCTTTCTGTCGAACCACCTCTCCATCTCCGTGTGGTTTTGTATGTCTGAGACATTTCTCCTCTCCTGATCACCCTCAGAGTCTTCAACGTTCCCTCCCCGTTCCTTCCTCCCCTCTTCTCATTTCCCCCTCCCCCCACTTCTGCCCATCCTCCACCTCTCTCTCGCTCTTTGTTTGGCCTTTGGACCTAGAATCCACTGTCCCTTAGCCAGTTCTACCCCCTCCCAGCAAACTTGTCTCTTTTGACTCCACTTCTCTCTGCCCTTCTCTCCGTGTATCTTCCCTACACTCACTTCTCTGACTCTTGCTAACTTGTATTCCTTTCCCCCGAATTTTCTATCTTCTCTCCCTG